CACCCATCAAGTAGACACATCCACTAATATCTATATGGTTCGTTTTTATTAGGTTCTTTTTTTGCCTTTCTCTTTTGGTTTGTATGTGTATTTGTCTGATTTCTATATCTTGGGTTGTTTTGTAACTTCACCAGTTAAAGAGGCGCATTCTCTTTTTTTGAGAAATTTTATTTTCACACACTTAATTAATTTAAGGTAAATCTTTTCTCAATATAGATACCTATTAATTTAATTATTAAATATTTTTCTCAATCCACTCCCTTAAAATTATAATTATATCTTTCACTCATATCCATGATATACACACTTTACCCTCAAATCCACATCCTTAAACTCCATCGCTAAGATATAATATCCCGTGCTTCTTCCTTTCGTATAATACCCTGTGCTTAGCGATGATGGAACTACTTAATGGCTATCCTCAAACTGAGAGGGAGATTCATCACCAGATATGGGCTGAGCTATGGGCCAAGCTAATTTGGGTTGTGGTTGAAGTCTTAACTCGGGCAAGACGAGGTTGCGTGCTCGACCGGGATCTTGATGCGGACAAGCATGGACTAACATTTTAGCCCGGTCAGGTTAAGGACAGAGGTTTGAGGCGTTAGCCCAGTTTAAGGTGTGCGTTTCACTAAGTTGGACGGTATTCGTCCTCAAAAGACTAGGTTTGACTGAGCAAGAGCTCGTTGTGGACTTACAAGCCCGGTTAAATCGACGTTTAGGCTTGTATCTCAGGGCCGAGCAGGTAACGCAATCCTGGGGAAAGATTGTGGCACCGTGCTGAGTATAGTTCGGTAGGAAGTGCTACGTAGCATGATTGGATTGCGTAAAGAAGTTTCCGTCGTCCGTACACGTCAATACCGTTAGACGGTTTTGCCATTTGGTGTTTCGCAGTATTAGCGCTTATACGTGGAGGAAGGTAAGAGGGGAACATATCCATACTTCAGGAGGAAGACAGACGGAGAAAGCGCTTATAAACTATATAAACGGTGTTGGGCCTCCATGCCCATATCTGGAACATCTGGTTATCAGAGCTACCTACCCATTTGTCTTTCTCTCTCTCTCTTCTCTCTAAGTGTGCTGACTTGACCGTCGGAGAGTTTTTCCAGCAGCACACCACCGGGTAGCTCACCGTTTTTGTGCTCGCAGGTCACTCGGAAATAAGCGAAGCTTGGACATGAAGAGTACGAAAAGCAACGAATATTTGTTCCCCATACACAAACTAAAATGGAAGTCGAGCATTTCCATGATGAAACAAGGTCCCAACCTCCAAAAATGGTCATTTTAGAAGCAAAATCATATTGATTATGCAGGAGTCGTTTTAGAGTACAAATAATTGACAAATAGTAACCAAATTGTGAAAATATACAATTTTAACATAAAATTTTACTCAAAAGTCACTATCAGAATAGTTCAAAAGTCAAATTATACATGTCGTTGGCTCCGTAGTACTATAGTTTTCAGGTATTAAATTATTTTTGTATCTAACCTTAGTGCAGATCCCTGTTTTTCTCATTCTATTTTGCAGCAGTAGAAACTTAAAGCCTCATTAGGGCTTAACCAGTCTTTGTGGTTGAGAATGGTGGGATTATTGCAATCTGGAGATGACCCAGATGAAGAAAGGAGTGAGAATGGATTGGGGAACTCAATTTGTGGTTGAGAATTTAGGAAAGAGAGTAAAGCAATGAAGATTGAAGAGTTGATTGGTGAATTTGGGTAGTGTTGTTAGCAAATATTAAGCGTGAAATCATTTTGAGATTATGACTTTAGAGTATTGGACTTGGTTTCTCATAAGATGACTGTGGAGTGAGCTTTGTAGCAATGTTTATACACATCTAGCGAGAGGTGTGCAAGTTAAATAAATAAAATATTTATTATATGTTATATGTTATATGTAATTCAAATGGTAAAAGTTTTATTTATCAAATTTATAATCTCAAGTTCAACTCAAACCAATTTATATATATATATATATATATTAGGGGTGGGCGCGAGTCGGTTGCGGCCACGAAACTTTCAATCCGCCAGATTGGCGGATTGGAAAAAATCAATCCGCATTCGTCTGCCAATCCGACGGATGCAGATTGAGCGGATTGGCGGTTTAGCAGATGGATGCGAATCGGTTTGGTAGTTTAACATTTTATAAATTTTCAACATAATTCAATTTGTGCACTTCCTCAACAAAAAAAAAAGAAGAAGAAGAAAGTATTACAGTCAATGACTTAAAAAAATATTACAATCATTACATGCCTCATCCAAAGTAAGAAAGTTTGAAACTTTAGACTATCACAATCACTGCATGCCTCATCCACATACTACAATCACAGTATGCCTCATCCACATAAAGTATTACAATCTGTGGTTCTTAAAATATAAAAACAATTCAAACCACCAAAACCATGAACAAAGTAGTAGTAGAGATTGTATGTCTCTGTATTGTTACATCTATATCTGTTTTTGAAAATAAAAATCAATGGGCATATATCATATTTTCTATTTATTATTTTTAGAGATAGATTTAAAAACTAAAAAATATACATAAATAATACGTTTATTTTTTTCAATTCAAAAAAGATATTCAAGTTGAAAATATTCAAGTTGAAAACTTTTTTTCAATAGAATATTTAAATTCTTTTTTAATTGAAAACACAAACAAAATATTTAAACAAACTGAAAACATAAAATCTTATAAATTACTAGGGGTGCTCGCGGTTTGGCAGTTCGGTTGCGGCCAAAGGAATCTCAAATCCACCATCCGTCCGCCAGATTGGCGGATTGGAGGAAATCAATCCGCAACCGTCCGCTCGTCATTACGCATCCGTCCAAAATGCGGCGGATCGGTTCTGTTCGGTTGGTTTTGACAGATCGGTATATCCGCTGCTCACCCCTAATATATATAGACATCTAATAGGAAAACGATCTAAATAATAGAGTATAAACCTACAGATTAAAACAATATGAAAGATATTTTGAGAGTATTGGTTTGCAAGCAATAGAGGAGTATAAAGTGTGTAACAAGCAAAGTGACAACAATGAAAAAATTAGGTTTTAATTTTTTTAATTCAAAAGGTGCATATTGAGATTTTTTTTGTTCTTAAAAGATATGTACAGAAAATTTTTCTATATAATATTATGGGTGTTGCTGGATGTTTATTATGGTCATTTTTACTTAGGTTATAATTGTCATTAAATTAATATTTCATTAAATGTGTGTCATGAGCTAATCAGGTATGTGTTTTCCCACTTTTTTTCCTTTTTCTTTTGTTTTTTAATTTTATTTTGCCTTTGTCTTTCAAAATAATTACCTTTCTACCATTTAATTATTCTCAAATTGTTTCTAATTATTACTTTTCTTAAATTCTGTTTCTTTTTACCAAAATTATATTTGCTTTGTATATATGCTATAAGGATGTGTTTGATTGGATAAAAGAGGATTAGAATACTTCGAACTTGAATCTTGGGACTATGAATCCCCCAGACTATTTGGTTGGATTGGATGTGTATCATGTATTTGTTTTCTCATGAAATTAGATGTCTAAAAATGACTATTTTTAGTGAATCCAATGTTTGGTTCGATGGATTAGATAAGGATAAATGTTCAAATGACTATTTTACCCTGTAATTTATAATTTACATTTTTTTATTTAATATATAATTTTAAATTTGTAATATATAATTTATAATTTAACAACACTAAAAATTTTAATTTATGAGGCCATAATTTTTAATTTATTATTTTTAATTAATTAAATTTATAATTTATATTTTTTATTTAATATATAATTTTAAATTAACAATACTAAAAAAATAATTTTATTTAATATATAAAATTATTTTTTTAACAACACTAAAAAAATTTAATTTATAAGGAAATAATTTTTAATTTATCATTTTTAATTAAATTAAATTTATATTTTTTATTTTTTATTTAATATATAATTTTAAATTAACAACGCTAAAAATATAATTTATAAATGTTCAAAAGACTATTTTACCCTTTTCTAATTGTTTACTAAGTAATAGTATGAGGGTGAAATGGACATTTCACACATTAGTCTCATGGAATACCAATCCCATAGAAATAATCCCCCCCCCCAGGATTGTTTAGTCCCTCATATGAGGGATATGGAGTTCGGTCGGACTACATGTCCGGTGGACTAAAATAGCACCAAACGATGGGCATCCTACTTCATTCGATAAGCAATCCGAATAGGAAGTAATTCCCCTCTAATCCCTTGAATCAAACACACCCTAAGGCCATTTTTGTTTGGGCGGACTGGATTAGATTAGATTAGTATTTCCATGATTAATAGTTCTAGGATTACGAATTTTTTGGATTGTACATCCTATCCTTTGTTTGGGTTGGGTTAGGATTATAAGGAGGGATTAACAAAATATTATCAAATCCGATGTTTGTTTAAGGAGATTGAAATTGATAGGACATGACAAGACATGGAACATCCAATATATTGACCATAATACCCCTATTATAATGAATGTAAAATTTTGCGCTAACATGTTTTATAATTTTTAAAAATCAAATTTCTCTTTATTTGCTCTACATCCATTTTGATTCATTTGAACAAAAATTAACCCACTTTTTTTTTAACAGAAAAAATCAAAAATCATCCAACTATAAAATTTATATATACATAAGCAACTATTAAAAAAAATATACTACTATTTTAATCATCTAAACATTCATTACCCAAATTCAAAAAAGTAATTATTTGAAAAAAATTTAACCTCCACTTTTTTTTAATAGAAAAAAATAAAAATCATTCAACTATAAAATTTATATAAATAAGCAACCATTAAAAATATACACTGCTATTTTAATCATCCAACCATTCATTGCCTAAATTCAAAAAGGCATTCATTTAAACAAAATTTAACTCTTTTGTTTTGGAAAAAAAAAATATAAAAAATCATTCAACTATAAAATTGTAGAAATATAAATCTACCATTCATCATTTCAAAATAAACATTCGAATTAGCATATTGCAACATGAAGTAGCAAAATATGAGTAGTTCAACAAAAAAAAAAAAATAGTAGAAAGTTAGTCTTTATTACATGCATTAGAGTAATCAAAAAATCTAAGTCCGTAGAAGGACATAAAAGAGTCACGAGTCTGTCATGGAGCACTCCTACGTAGCAACCTCATCACCCACCTTAGATTGTTATCATGTGTCAAGCTGAAGAACATGTCAAGCTTTTGAGCACTTTGTGATATGATCTCACAAGCATCTCACCTTTCATCAAGCGTAATTGGCAATTTAATAAGTTCATCATTCAAACTTGGCCGTTTAGATACGAGATCATGTTCATAACCCATCCTTTGACCAATGAAATCCGGTTTTTCATTTGTGGTAGAAAATACCTCACCCAATTGGTTAGCAATCATGGACAACCCTTCCACTACATCATCATTACCTCTAGGCCTCTTCTTGTTGTCATTCTTTTTTGTAGAACTTTCAGGTGGCCCTTAACTTAATGAGTTGGAATAATTTATTCCTTCGCTGATATGACTATTCATACCCATATGTTCAAGAAATGTGCCATCATCTGCAAGACTATTGAACAACAATTCTTCCTCAGCATTTATAGTATCAACTGCATCAGCAGGCCTTTAGCAAACTCCCCTGTAGCTCAATCCTTACCAAATATGTGGATCCATGAGTCGAAATATGAAAAACTTTTGTTTCGTAGGTTTTTCACATCGTTTTCCCTCTACAATAACCAATTTCAATTAATATCTCCAACTTAAGATTAAAGAAAAATGAATTAAAAAATTAACAACTTATACAAAGTAACTTAAATAAAGTATTTTACCCGAATGTATGCTTCCCAGACACTATCATTCTCAACATCAATTCTTTTTTCGGTGTCGTTCCATCCAAAACCACTGGTACCAAGCATTCTTGCTACACAATTGTAGTGTTCTTCCCTATCTTTATCTTTGATTTGATGTGGAGAGTGCCGCGAAGGTTTGTCCTGAGTAGCATCTCCAACAATTTCTCCTCTAATTTCATAAGGTAGCTGGCCTTGAAGGCATTGTCCTATTTCATTCCATTGTTGATAATGTGCATCACGACATTAATAAGACATTCCTCTTCTTGTGGGCACCACAATCGCCTTGGTTTTGACGGATCAACTTTCTCCTTTACTTTTTTAGGATAACTAGACACTTCACTATCCATGCCTAGCAAAGAAGAACAAAGAAAAGTGTGCATGTTAGTCTCCACAATGTGATTATCAACTTGTTAACATGCCAAAACAAGTCAATACATAAATAAATTTGTATACTCAAAAAATTTCATACCCATACATACATGTAACAAATCCATGAGACATAAGTCACTTAAAAAATATGCAATGGCCAACAAAAACCATACAATTTTTGCAAAAAGTGGTTCAACATCCACAAGCTAATACAAGTTCCAAGTACAAATCAAATGAAACTACATCATACTCGTAACAAGTACTTTTACAAATATTGAAACTATCCTTGTCCTACCTCCCTACTAGCAAACCAATTGTTGTATAGTTGTATTGCAAGTGTATTCTGCCACCCAGTCCACTCATTAGATGTCTCAACGGTGTCAACAACATCATCTCCCAATTGAGGTTGATCTTCTATGTCATTATTTAGCCTCTCTTCTATGGGGTCAATAGGCATCTCTCGACGAATGAGGTTGTGCAACAAATAACATGCTGTGATGATACGATTTTGAGTTCTACTGGGTTAGTATGACGCACAACGAAGTATTGCCCATCTTATTTTCAACAATCCAAAATACCTTTCTATGACATTTCGAGCTGATACATGTTTCGTATTAAATTTTTTTTGATAATTAGTTGGAGTGGCCCTTGCTCTCCAAACAGACAAATGGTATCGTTGGCTCTAATAAGGTGCTAGGAATCCTTGTCCATTTGTATACCCGACATCTACTAGGTAGTAGTAACCTATATGAGATGCTATATATTAGAATCCATTATTAAATAAAACTTAGTAATTCTATCAAGCAAAGTTAATTATTTCTTAATTACCAGTTGGAATTCTTAAGCCATTGGGTTGATTAATCGCATCCCTCAAAACCCTAGAGTCTGCAGCTGACCCTTCCCTCATCGGTAACACATATATGAAGTTCATGTCTTAGGAGCAAACTTCTAGAACATTGGTAGCAATATCTCCCTTCTGTGTTCTATACTGTGCTTGATAAACCACTGGTACACAAACTTTAATATAGGTTCCATCAAGTGCTCCAAGACAATTCTAATAAATAGAAGACATTGTAATAATTATGAGTTGTAAAAAAAAAATGTGTAATGTATTTTATTAAATATTTTACAAACTACATTTACCTGGAAGCAATTCCATCTTGGATCAATGCATGCTTGTGTTATAGGGTTTGGTGTCCTAAGTAAGTGGCCTTGGAGGTGCAACACAGCTTTTAGAACATCATTGGAATGTCGACTTACAGTTTCTCCGGACCTAAAGAAATTGAACTTAAGTTTTCGTACTTTTAGGTCATGTGCCAAGACGTAGAGGAACAAGGCAATCTTCTCTTCTAAGGTAACATTTTTTGAATGCCCTAACCCACCTATTGTACGAACCATATGGCATAACGTCATAAAACAACGCCTATCCATACGAATTTGTTTAATGCATGCAATGTTGCTTTCTCTCACTAGCCGATTAATGTGGTCCATCTGTTCTAGCAATTGATTGGGCCCTCGAATAACGGTACAAGGATACTTATGAATATACCTCTTCAAGACAATTTCAATGGCAATATATGCTACAACACATAAGGCGTACAATTCTTGCATTACAACTTGCAACACTACATATAGCTCAAGCTCCTCATTACTTTCATCTCCAAAACCATCGAAATTGTAATCCATCTGTGTAAATAGTGATGCACATCAATATATTAGAGTACAAGAAAACTGCATAATTCCAAAAAAATTAACAAAACAAAAAATACTAATAATAAAGAAGATTAATAATTCTAGTAAAATGCATATTTGTCTTAAATTTTCTGGTGTTGTCTTACCTCATTCGTCTTAAAGAAGATCAACCTAAAACCATGATTTTTCTGGTGTTGTCCCTATGATTGAATTTGATCTCAATATATTTTAATGCATATTTGTCTTAAAGAAGATCAACCTAAAACCGTGATTTTAATAATAAAGGAGATTAATAGTAAAGCAAGGAACCACCTTTACTCAAAATAAAATTAGGATAAGTTATAATCACTACCTCTAAACAATGTCCAGATGAATTGATAGCTAGGAAAAGGGGTATTATTTTAATGAATTTAATTCTCAAGGGGTATGTAACTAAATTTCTTCTAAATGATAAATTATGTTGATCCTGCTAAGTTTGGAATGATAGTTGAAAACTTGAAGTACGATCTGGAAAAATTAAAAGTACTGTTATGTATAGCGAGGGAATATCAAACTACTGATATTACACCTATCTTCTCCAAATTGAATTGTATAAGGTTTAGGAATGAGGGGAAGTTACAGATTATACCCCTTGTAGGAGGGGTAACTTCTTTTTATGTACTAGTTGTAAAATTACTTTATCTTGATTTTATTTTGGGTAAAGGTGGTTCCTTTCTTTACCATCTTTTTGTGGTTTCTGTGGAGATGGAATAAGGAAATCTACTAGATGGGGGGACTTGGCCTCAAGATCAGTTCAAGTAGGAACCAGGAACACAAATTTCTTTTGTTGATAGGACTTAAGCAAAGATATGTTGAACAAGACAAAGGAACCTTTTCGTTCCCTATACAACCTAAAACCATGAATTTGATCTCAATATTAAAGAATGATGTAAGACAGCACTAGAAAATTTAAAATGTTGCTCTCTATGATTGATTTTAATGATGGGTTGAATTTAAGACGAATATGATCAACCTAAAACCATGATTGAATTTGATCTCAATGTATTTTAATGCATATTCATCTTAAAGAAGATCAACCTAAAACCATGATTTTAATAGTAAAGAATCTTATTAAACCCTTCAAGGATCTTATCTTCAACCTTTGCTTGAGAGTGGGAGTTGCAGTGGGCTATAGAGAATTGTACGAAAAAAAACCCCTTCAAGAATCTTATTTTCAACCTCTCTTTGGAAGTCTCTGTTTACCAAAGCACTAAGGATAACATAGTGTTTACTCAGAAAAGGAGAGTAACTCCTATACTTATCATAGTTATATTGAAGAGGACAAGATTCAGAGTGTCTTCTTAGAGGCTGGAGGAAAAAAACCATTCTAACTGAAAATTTTGCATGATTTTACTTATCTACTTTGGTCATAGCTTAGAATTCTTCATAATAGCAAGTTCTGATTTGTACAAGGGGGGATGCCCCTTATTTCATTTTTTTTTAAACTGGGTTTGTATCAATCTATATGGATATGTTCTTGAACAGCCTTAAAACCCTTCAAATTCACAAACCAAATATAAAACAGTATTGTTTTCAATACACAAATAGAACTATTTCCCATGCTAATGTTGTTGAAAACTTACCTTAATTTGATAGTTTATGACAACATTGAATTTCTAAAACCAAAAAAAAAAAAAAAAAAGCTAGGTTTTCTCACCAAACAGAGCAATCCAATGTGTGTATATATATATACAGCCACACAAAACACACACATATACATATATATATAGCCACAAAAACACACACACACATATATATTAGTCCATCAAAACAAAATTAAAATCTGACTTAATCAATTAAAAATCAAAACAAAACTTTTGCTAAACATTGAACAAATTTGAGATTTCAATGTGAGTGAAAAACTCATAACCCTAGATATGATCTATGAAGATGAAGAGAGAGAGAAACATAAATAACTATAATGACACCAATGTAAAACAAAGATTCATAGCAAATCAAACCACATAATAGCACTGTAAATCAAACCAAACATCATTGGAATTAAAAAAAAAAATAAAATTTACTCATTGAAATTTGTTGAGATAACGATGAATGATTGCTTTAGATCAACAAATGGTGGATCCAAATCGATAAACAGTTGCTTCAAATCTATGAATGGTGGCTCCAAATTGGTGATCGGTGGCTCAAGATCGGCGACGAACTTTGGAGACTCTCATCTCATCACCGCAATGTCAAAGAAGAGTGAAGCGTGTGGAATAAAATAATTGACAAATATAGATATATAGTGAGGGTTAATTTGGTCATTTAGGCCATGCTTGTTTGGGCGACATGTGCTTGGGATTGGATTAATAGTCCAATAAAATTATTAATCCGATATTTGGTTAAAAAATTAAAATACGGACTAACAATCCATTCGGATATAGTATCCCACATTTGATGGATTATTCAACCCCACAAAGAAGGGGTGAGATATAAATTAAAGGACTAAGCCAAAGTATGAACTAACTGATTAAATGACCAAATTAACCCTCACTATATATCTATATTTGTCAATTATTTTATACCACAACCTTAACTCTTCTTTGACATTGCGGTTATGAGATGAGAGACTCCAAAGTTTGTTGCCGATCTTGAGCCACTGATCACCAATTTGGAGCCACCATTCATAGATCTGAAACAATTGTTTATCGATTTGGATCCACCATTTGTTGATCTAAAGCAATCATTCATCGTTTTTGTACCACGATTTGCTGATCTAAAGTTACCCCTCCTACATAGGGTATAAGCTCTAGCTTCCCCTCACTCCTAGACCTTAAACAATTCAATTTAGAGAAGATAGGTATAATATTAGTAGTTTGATATTCCCTCGCTATACATACCAGTACTTTTAATTTTTCCAGATTGTACTTTAAGTTTTCAGCTATCATTCCAAACTTAGTAGGATCAGTATAATTTATCATTTAAAAGAAATTTAGTTACATACCTCTTGAGAATTAAATTCATTAAACTAGTACCCCTTTTCCTAGCTATCAATTCATTTGGACATTGTTTAGAGGTAGTGATTATAACTTATCCTGATTTTATTTTGAGTATAGATGGTTCCTTTCTTTACTATTAATCTCTTTTATTATTAAAATCATGGTTTTGGGTTGATCTTCTTTTAAGACGAATATGCATTAAAATATATTGAGATCAAATTCAATCATAGGGACAAGCACTAGAAAAATCATGGTTTTAGGTTGATCTTCATGAAGACGAATAAGGTTACACAACACTAGAAAATTTAAGAAGAATATGCATTTTACTGGAATTATTAATCTTTATTATTATTATTATTATTTGTTCTGTTAATTTTTTTGGAATTATACAGTTTTCTTGTACTGTAATATATTGATGTGCATCACTATTTGCATAGATAGATTACAATTTCGATGGTTTTGGAGATGAAAGTAATGAGAAGCTTGAGTTATATGTTGTGTTGCAAGTTGTAATGCAAGAATTGTATACCTTAAGTGTTGTAGCATATATTGCCATTGAAATTGTCTTGAAGAGGTATATTCATAAGTATCCTTGTATCGTTATTCGAGGGCCCAATCGATTGCAAGAACAGGTGGACCACATTAATCGGCCAGTGAGAGAAAGTGACATTACATTCATTGAATAACTTCGTATGGATAGGCGTTGTTTTATGATGTTATGCCATATGGTTCGTACAATAGGCGGGTTGGGGCATTCAAAAAAATGTTACCTTAGAAGAGAAGATGGCCTTGTTCCTCTACGTCTTGGCACATGACTTAAAAGTACAAAAACTTAAGTTCAATTTCTTTAGGTCCGAAGAAACAGCAAGTTGATATTTTAATGATGTTCTAAAAGTTGTGTTGCGCCTCCAAGGCCACTTACTTAGGACACCAAATCCTATAACACAAGCATGCATTAATCCAAGATGGAATTGTTTCTAGGTAAATGTAGTTTGTAAAATATTTAATAAATACATTACACATTTTTTTTTTACAACTCATAATGATTACAATATCCTTAATTTATTAGAATTGTCTTGGAGCACTTGATGGAACCTATATTAAAGTTCGTGTACCAGCGGTTTATCAAGCACGGTATAGAACACGGAAGGGGGAGATTGCTACCAATGTTCTAGGAGTTTGCTCCCAAGACATGAACTTCATATATGTGTTGTTGGGTGGGAAAGGTCAGTTGCAGACTCTAGAGTTTTCACGGATGCGATTAATCGACCCAATGGCTTAAGAATTCCAACTGTTAATTAATAAATAATTAACTTTGCTTGATAGAATTACTGAGTTTTTTAATAATGGATTCTAATATATAGCATTTCATACAGGTTACTACAACCTAGTAGATGTCGGGTATACAAATGGACAAGGATTCCTGGCACCTTATCAAGGCCAACAATACTATTTGTCTGTTTGGAGAGCAGGGGCCACTCCAACTAATTATCAAAAAAATTCTAATATGAAACATGCATCAGCCCGAAATGTCATAGAAAGGTGCTTTGGATTGTTGAAAATAAGATGGGCAATACTTCGTTGTGCGTTACACTAACCCATTAGAACTCAAAACGGTATCATCACAGCATGTTGTTTGTTACACAACCTCATTCATCAAGAGATGCCTGTTGACCCCATAGAAGAGAGGCTAAATAATGACATAGAAGATCAACCTCAATTGGGAGATGATGTTGTTGACACCGTTGAGACATCTAATGAGTGGATAGGGTGGCGGGATACACTTACAATACAACAATACAACTATACAACAATTGGTTGGCTAGTAGGCGGCAGGACAAGGATAGTTTCAATATTTATAAAAGTACTTGTTACGAGTATGATGTAGTTTCATTTGATTTGTACTTGGAACTTGTATTAGCTTGTGGATGTTGAACCATTTTTTGCAAAAATTGTATGGTTTTTGTTGGTGATTGCATATTTTTTAAGTGACTTATGTCTTATGGATTTGTTACATGTATGTATAGGTATGAAATTTTTTGAGTATTGAAATCTATTTATGTATTGACTTGTCTTGGCATGTTAACAAGTTGATAATCACATCGTGGAGACTAACATGCACACTTTTCTTTGTTCTTCTTTGCTAGGCATGGATAGTGAAGTGTTTAATTCTCGTAAAAAAGTAAAGGAGAAAGTTGATCCGTCAAAACCAAGGCGATTATGGAGCCCACGAGAAGAAGAATGTCTTATTAATGCCTTGATGCACGTTGTCAACAATGGAATGAAACAGGACAATGCCTTCAAGGTCGGCTACCTTATGAAATTAGAGGAGAAATTGTTGGAGATGCTACTCGGGACAAACCTTCGCGGCACTCCCCACATCAAATCAAAGATAAAGCTATAGAAGAAACACTACAGCCGTGTAGCAAGAATGCTTGGCACTAGTGGTTTTGGATGGAGCGACATCGAAAAAAGAATTGGTGTTGAGAGTGATAGTGTCTGGGAAGCATACGTTCTGGTAAAATACTTTATTTAAGTTACTTTGTATAAGTTGTTAATTTTTTAATTCATTTTTCTTTAATTGTAAGTTGGAGATATTAATTGAAATTGGTTATTGTAGAGGGAAAACAATGCGAAAAACCTACGAAATTTTTTTTTTCCATATTTCGACTCTTGGATCCACATATTTGGTAAGGATCGAGCTACAGGGGAGTTTGCTGAAAGGCCTGCTGATGCAGTTAATGCTATAAATGCTGAGGAAGAATTGTTGTTCAACAATCTTGCAGATGATGGCACATTTCTTGAACATATGGGTATGAATAGTCATATCGGCGAAGTAATAAATTGCTCCAACTCATCAAGTCAAGGACCACCTGAAAGTTCTACAAAAAAGAATGACAACAAGAAGAGGCCTAGAGGTAATGATGATGTAGTGGAAAGGTTGTCCATGATTGCTAACATATTGGGCGAGGTATTTTCTGCCACAAATGAAAAGCTGGATTTCATTGGTTGAAGGATGGGTTATGAACATGATCTCACATCTAAACGGGCAAGTTTGAATGATGACCTTAATAAGTTGCCAATTACTCTTGATGAAAGGCTAGATGCTTGTGAGATCATATCATAAAGTGCTCAAAAGCTTGACACGTTTTTCAGCTTGACACATGATGATAAACTGAGGTGGGTGATGAGGTTGCTACGTAGGAATGCTCCACAATAGACTTGTGACTCTTTTATATCCTTCTACTTAGTTTTTTTGTTGTTGAACTACTCATATTTTGCTACTTTACGTTGCAATATGTTACTTGGAATGCTTATTTTGAAATGATGAATGGTAGATTTATATTTCTACAATTTTATAGTTGAATGATTTTTTAAATTTTTTTGTTCGGAAAAAAAAAGTGTTAAATTTTGTTTAAATGAATGCCTTTTTGAATTTAGGCAGTGAATGGTTGGATGATTAAAATAGCAGTGCATATTTTTTAATGGTTGCTTGTTTATATAAATTTTATAGTTGAATGATTTTTATTTTTTTCTATTAAAAAAAAGTGGAGGTTAAATTTTGTTCAAATAATTACTTTTTTGAGTTTGGGCAATGAATGGTTAAATGATTAAAATAGTAGTGCATTTTTTTTAATAGTTGCTTATGTGTATATAAATTTTATAGTTGAATGATTTTTGACTTTATCTATTAGAAAAAAAAAGTGGGTTAATTTTTGTTCAAATGAATTAAAATGAATGTGGAGCAACAATAAGGAAATGGAAAATGTTTGGGACCCCCACAAAGGAGGACCCCCATAACCCCCATTGATATATTAACCATCGATGTGTTTGAATTTTTTTGGGGGGGTTGTGTCTGATAGTGACATGAATGGTTCAGATCATTTCGAGAATTGTAGGGGTTGTGTTTTCTTGGGGGTCTCTATCATTACTATAGGGAAATTTGATTTTTAAAAATTATAACACATGTTAGTACAAAATTTTACATTAATTATAATAGGGGTATTATGGTCAATATATTGGATGTCCCGTGTCTTGTCATGTCCTATCCATTTCAATCTCCTTAAACAAACATTAGATTGGATAATATTTTGTTAATCCCTCATTATAATCCTAACTTAATCCAAACAAAAGATAGGATGCACAATCCAAAGGATTTGTAATCCTAGGACTATTAGTTATGGTAATACTAATCCAATCTAATCTAGTCCGCCCAAACAAACATGGCCTTAATGAGTTAGTCTGTACTTTGGCTTA